GGTTCACATTCCTTGAGGAGTTCTGCCATTTGAACACCGTATTACGCATTCAGGAAGTTAGTAACACCACGTAAACGGCTAATGGATGCTAACGGCTCTACTGTTGCGGACTCTGTTAGCTGTAACACGCGAGCGGCGGCCGTCCCGCACCCCAGCGCCGCATAGGCCTCTTGCTTTGGCCATGAGGCGCTGCGGAATAATCGGCTTGTTGTGCCCAATACAATTTGTTTATCGGTATTGGGTAATACAAACTTGCGCATTTGAATTTGTCCCGCGTGAAAACGTTAGCCGGCGGTATGAATTCCCCCCTTGCGATTGCTTTACGGAAGGAATCGAGCCGATAGGGAGTTTTCGTAGATACATGGTTTTCGCCCGTCCCGACTCTACAGCCAAGGAAATCGGCGCGCAGGCGCAGTAGCGGCTTTTTCGTTGCGGAGAGCTCAGCGGAGGGGGAAACGCGATCTACGAAAACTCCCTAATATACAACGTGGAAAGCTTCTTTCGTTCCTTAACACTTCGCAAAGGGAAGAAACTCGGCGATGCTTACTACTGCAAGCTGCGTCTACGCCATACAAGAAGCTGCAAATTCGGTGTAATAATAGTTAGGGTTGTGGGGATATTTAGACACCGTGTAGTTGGTCAGCCATTTCAAGGTTGCAACGAGTCACTCGCTTTAGATGAGCAAATTAGGTGCAGTACAACCGCTAGCCTGGGGTCTTTAATGCACCACGCAGTAGTGATACGCGACGGCACGCCGGTACGATGCTCAACCAGATCGAAACGGGCAGGGGTGGGGATTGAACCCAGGATCCGTGGGCTTTGCAGCGCGAGCTTTCGCTCCACGTGCTCCGAGCTGGTGTGCGCTAGCCCACTCAACTACCGATCCCTCCCCCCTCCCCCCATTTTGGTGTAGGCGCGCTGTAACTCGCAAAAAACAGCGAGCTTCTTATGATGTGGAGCTTGAGGTGAGCATTACGAGAAACGCTAACGCTCCTTCTAAGCAAAAGCTCTGAAACTGTAGTCCCTCCGTACAGCCAACGCGATAAGCTGATGACCAACTTCAAAAATGCGCGAAAGCAGACGCAAACAATCGAGCTGCGACCGGCCGTCTGTCGGCCGAGCAGATCGTTCCTATCTATCATGCAGGCTACTCCTCGAGCTCTTGCGGCCTTTCTTGCGCATTTGCGTTGGAAGCTTGACGCAACACAAGATCAGCACTAGGAGCTCCGCCTACAGCACATGGTTCTTGCCCTCTCTAGTGCGTTGGTGCACGCGCACGCACGTCTTTTCAAAGGGAAGGTCTCGCTAGAGACTGCGCTTTTACTGCTGATCTCACGGTTGCGAAAGATGTAGTTCAATCGGATTGCTCCACTGGTCGGCCAGTACAGCGTGTTGCTGTTTTTATTTTTTTAATTCGCATGACGCACGTTTCGATGCATGCCACGGCCGCTTGATCAAGTGGCCGTGCCTTAGCAGAACGACCTGGAGGGCGAGAAAAACAAGTCTCGCTTACTCATTGCGCTGGGCGGCTAGTATCGTTCCCTCCGCTCGATTTCGTGCAGTTTCGATGGGATTCTGTAGAATTTTACGCCGGGGTTAAGCCCGTCCTGTTTTTAATAGTTGACGACGCAAAAGTACCGTCGATGGCGACGTTTCGAATGCACCGAGGCTGTGTTTGTTGCTCCCGGTTTCGACGTGCATAGACGAAGAAAAAATTGCTAGCTCGCGGCAGGCTTTGGTCCCCATGGTTAACGTTGTGCGGTGACGACTACGAGTGACATATTTTGAGTCGCGACCCCTCGAACGCACAAATAACAACTGCGTGCAGAGATCAACACACGTTTGTTATTGTGCAAGGCCGCGGGACTTGTACTACTCAGACACTCTATCGCCCACCACCGGAGGGCGCCACGGTACGTTCAATGTTTAGCGCAGACAACGCCGCGGCGATTGCCAATGTTCGCTGAACATGGTTTCGTGTTCGGTGAACCATGTCACAGGCGCCCGCGGTTTCGTGGGCACC